AGAGAGAGAGAGAGAGAGAGAGAGAGAGAGAGAGAGAGAGAGAGAGAGAGAGAGAGAGAGTTACATGAGGGATGAACTCAGTTACATATCTGATTGAAGCTGCTGGCTGCTGCGCTGATGAGCGCTGTGTGACTGGAACTCTGAACTTGTAGAATATGATCAATCATTGAGGTTTCTTGAGCTGCACTAATCTGTTCTCTCCATCTCTGGACTTCGGTGTGGATTTCTGTGTGAACTCTCATTGTGTATACAATTGGAGTGTGAATATAAGTCGTTCATTGCACATACGTAAGCCGTCTCTTTGACTGTGTTGTCATATATCCCAGGCCATGGTTAACCGGCCTAAGTCGCCAGTACTGATTCCACCTGCAGTGGATCCTCTGTATCATTGAAGTCTTCGGGTTGCAGTGGCACAGCAGCATGAATAACTGCTGGGTCACCAAATATCACTTACTCCACAGTTGATGACAGGCCCCTCTCAAGTGCTTGCCAGCTTGCGGACACCCTTGAACCCCTGGGCCCAACATAAAGGGGTGAGCCTTTTTGGCCAGAATCTGATTATAAATAATGCTGTGATCTCGACCCTATGGTATCAATGCTCCAGCAACTAGATCAACCATCATTGCAAGCTATTCGAGGTATGGTCACAAACTACTTGTGGAAGGAAGAAATTGACGATGTCCTTTTGGGATGTTATTTCGTAGCCAAAGAGACTAGGGGATTAGCAATTTTAGACCCTGAGAGACTGATTTCTGCAGTGTTAGCTCGCTAGGTTCTATGGGCGAGACTTGGAGGTCCCTTGTGTGCCTGGAGATAGCTGGCTGGATTTGTTCTTTTTGACGCCTGGGATTGGGTCCATCTCAGATGTCTTTGGCTGACTGTCCTTAATCCCGCCTCCCTGCACAAATACTTACCGTCTGATATCTGTCTGGTCTCATGAGGGCTTGGCGAAATGTTGCCCACATCTCTCACCACCACCGCCTCCCTGCACAAATACTTACCGTCTGATATCTGTCTGGTATCATGAGGGCTTGGCGAAATGTTGCCCACATCTCTCACCACCACCAATGGTGGCAGAACGTATATTGACCCAACTGCTATTTGATAACCATTTTATTCTCACCCCGGATGATTTACTCTTTTCTTGTGTTGGAGTGGGGATGCTCGGTAGTGAATGGACGTCAAGAGGGATTGAGACAATGACAGATATTTGGGAAGTGCATAGTTCAGATTGGAAAGAATTTGACTTGTTATCAGGGCAATTGTCTTGACTGTGGTATCAGTGGGTACAACTGCAGGCTATGCAGCAGGCCATTCCACATTCATGGGTTCAAGTGCTTCGCACACTGATTAGCCCGATGCGAGGCCAGTTGTACAAGCATTCACTGCGCGTTGTTCCGACTCATATTAGGAGAGATGACCCTGCTAACCACAACTGCAGCAGGCTTTCTTTGGCTGCTGCACATCGGGCTGTCCCTGGAGCTGCTTGGTGTGCCAGGAGAACACCTTAAACCGCTAATACACCTGGGCCCGGAGGTGCTGCACTGAGCGCCAAGCTTTCCCGAACCACCAGCAGTGCACTTTTTCCTTTTTTGGCTCGCACCCCCAGCCCTTCTGGTCTGGTAGGCCAAATGCGCGAGGTGATGGGGCAGTGTACTGGCGGTTTAAGCAACCCCTAAAAAAATGCATGTATAAGGAACGAGTTCCGATACTGGATTTTGTTCACCGATGGACATGTATATACGACTTCGTTTTGTTCAGAGTGTCTACCAGAAAGGGTTCTAAAAAGTCACACTGAAATACGCGGAGGAAACATTGCGGGCAGCCATATTATGGACTTTGTGACACTGAAGAACTCTGCCGTGTGATGGGAGGAGCAGTTTACCCTGCAGATGATCAGAGCTCAGGTTAAATCTCCTATCAATCACACCTTTTCAACAG